AACTGTTTCTTTACTACAGGGTCAAGTTCCACTCACTTTGAGCAGAATCACAACTTTGAGAGTGTGAAAACTAACAGGCACAAGACTAGCTAACTGTATTTTTAAACTGCACTGAATTGAAATGTTTCCAAACTTCAGGAACAAAATATTAAGCTAGTGTAGAACTGCTACCCCATATCCTTCCAGATTATGTAAATTAACAGATCTCAGACCTGAAAACGCAATTAAATACAAAGGTCAGAGACTGAACATGGCAGTATATTTGTATCTCTGTCCTGTAGCCAAATGAACAGTTGCTGCAAAATACTACAAGTCATCAACATAGAAAGGAACAGGTAAATTTCCAAGCTAGATCTTTAAGAAAACTGGCTATCACCTAGAAAATATTTTAATACAGGGGCCTTCAATCACAGAAGATGGTCAAGCTATGCAGTTTGTTCCTGTGACAAAGAACGTGGTAGCCAGCAACGCTTCCACACGTGCACAGGGCTGTCAACTTCCCTAGAGCACCAGATCCAGCCCAGGAATGCCGGCCAGCTACAGACACCACCTCATGCCTCTGGCACATCCCCCTGCCAGACCAGAGGGATGTGAGCAAGCCATCACCCAGGCATTTGATGTAAGGCACTGGTGGTAAACATCTTTCCCAAGAGCTGCTCAGCCAGATGGGGAGCAGGGCACAGGCCACATGAGCCGTTCCAGCTGCAAACTCTTGCTTTTGGCTGCCAAGTGCCAGATGACAGGAGTGGAACAAAGGACTCCCCCTTCAAATCGTATCAAGTACAAGTGGTCACCAATAAATTAATCCTGTTCGCTAGCAGGCAACCTTCAGGAAGGGACTATAAAAAGCAAACTACTGACAAAAGAGCCTGCTGGACTGCTAGGCAGTCTTCCCCACAAAGATGTTGACACTAAAGCAGGCAAGCTGAAGAGCTTGAGGCAGACACTGTGCAGGATCAAAAACTCACAGGTGATTTCTGTGTGCCAAAGGAAGGAGCAGAGATGTGAGACTCTTTAAGAAAAAACTCCTCATTCCCCACAGCACAGCTTCAACTGACCTCCTCTTCACACAGTTACCCTTCCCATCTTGTCACAACTTTCTTGCACTGCCACTCAAACACTTTCCTACTAGAAGAAAAACAGTGGTGAGTCCCTTCACACTGGGGGCAGTCCTTCTCCACCTCCACAATGGAAGAAAGGACATGATATTGTTTGCACTGCTCATGGTGGCATGGAGTGTATTGCATAAGACCAAACCAGAAAGCAAATAAAGATATGCAAGTTACTAGTCAGAAAGGTAAGGAACACAGGAAAACCAGTCTCCTCAGTTTTCCTTCTCCCTAAATGAGCAGGCTAAAATGTTTTTACAACTCTTCCTCTTACAATTAATTTCTATGGATACTTCTAGGAAATCTGCTCCTGAACAACTGCAGTGTTCAGTAACTTTACTCATCAAACAGCGTCTGAATGACACTTTGTCTGGATCAGCAATTTTCAAACTTTCTATCAGTGTCCACACCTCCAGGATAATTTCTTCATCACATTGGCACACGTAGTTTGAGAGCCATCACACTGGTAGAAGCAAAACGTATGCCCTTCAGAACATATGCCATGAAGAAAGGAAAGGGTACCTTAGAGAGCAACTCGAAGTGAAATTACAGGCAGGAGAAAGTTTTTCAGTTAAAGAGTGACGGAATAAAATGTCAACAGATCAATGGAGCTTATAAGAGGAAAGAAAGCCCATGGCTGGAAGGACTCACTGAGCCTACTCTCGCCAGAACACTGCTGGAGAGATTCAGTATCTTCCAGCTATCTTCTTTTGACTCCATGAGTCACCCTCTCCAACCCAAGAGCTCCCTCGCAATACCCATGACCAACACCCCGTTCTCTGTGCTTTTGGAACTGCAGGGACAGGAAAATGCCAACGATTTCTTCCATGTATGGGCTGTCCTAAATCCAAACCCTGCGCCCTCTCAAAACAGGCATCTGCACTTGTTCCTAATAACTGCCTTGGATTCCCTGCTCTGACGCTGTCCTCATCTTGGCACCAACAAGTTCAAAAAACCTGGAGGTGTCACAAGCAGGTTTTGTTCTAAAGACAACACGCCAGAACCCCTTGTCCAAGTGATTCAGCCACCTGCTTTTCTTTGATCGTGCCCAGTTCCATTGTTCAAAGACCTGCAAGGAACATGAGTCATGTTTGTGTCAGGATACTCGCTCACAGGTCTTTCATCCTCCCTGTAATTAATGTAATTAAAAAAAAATAATTCTAAAATTCACACACAACCCCTTATTTTAGACTACTACTCTTGGAACAGATCTTTCAGTCTATGGGCAAAACCTCCAAAAGCATTCAAGGCAGAAAGCTACAACACACATTCACTAAAAAAACGCCAGTTCTCATTCAGGTTTTTTTTGCTGTATAGGATGAAGCTCAGCTTCAAAGTCAACATCCTATCTGTGTGAGCTACCCAGTTACCGATAAGACCGCCTGCAAATCTTGAGAATGCAGGAAACCATGCTGCCTCTGAACACCTCGCAGGAGCAATTTATTCACCGACCTAGAATTTCACATGCAATACTGAACAACTTTTTCAAAGTTGCTTCCCCCAACTGCACAAACATAATCAGCTCACAAGGCTGCTGAAAGCAGCAGTTCTGCCATCTGTCTGCTTATTCCCACCTCACACTTGTGCGGGCACAAGTGTTTGTGAAGCCACGCAACGATCAAGAGAGAACCAAACTCTGAAAAAGTAACAAGGGAAAACTATAAAATTATCATCAGATTATCCATGCTGGCACAGGCATGGGAATAAGCAGAAATGACATTACTAATTTTAAATTAATTACTAATTTTAAATGGCAGTGCCATTTTCACAAGTCCATTGACGAACCAACTTTTCACCAAGTCTAGAAACTAAATCTTAAGAACACGTAAGCACACACATGAATTTCAGAAGAATTCAAACAATTTTACTTGATTTGCTCTCGTGTTCTTGTTAAAGTAAGAAGTGGGAGGAAAAAAAAGTGATCTATTGCTTACTAAGAGCAATAAAAGTGCTTAATGGAAAACATTTCTGTGTTGAGATCTTCACCCCTGCCTCAGTTTTCTTCACTAATAAAACAGACAGTAGCACTAATCTGTTCAACTAAACATTCTGCAATACAAATAAACAACACAACACCAAGATAATATTGTTACAGAGGGACACAGACAGAATTCAACTCTCTTACAGCAACGAAAGAGTGAGACGGCACAAAGCTGATGTTGCAACCTATAGTGGTCTGGGATGGAGAACAGACACAGGACAATGCACAGCAAAATGGCTACTCAGACCAGCAGTTCCTAAACAGTTGGTATCTACAAAAGGACAGACATGGATTTGCAAAAGACCTGGGTAAAGAAACTCACAGTGGAGTCTCCCTGCCCTCCTTTCATTATTGGTACTCTGATGAAATCACATAGGAGTTATGAAGAGCATATAGGGAAGACTTGCTGGGGTGGCAGGTTAAGTAGGAATCCACAGAGCTGGGTTGTCATGACAGCAGCTGAAAGTATGCAAGAGATGTATAGATCCTGGGTGTTAGAACAGCAAGGACTACAAATAAGATCATTAATACATCACATTTTTAAACACCGAGAAGCATACACTACATCTCATCAATGAAATACAGACTACATGATAACCATTTGCATTGGTGAGGGTGCACAAGGGTCTAGGACATACACAAAACATCGTATTCATAAATTACTGATAAAGCACAGGTTCTCACAGACTCAATAGTCATGCTATACATAAGAGGAAAGAAGTGACATGCACTTTGGTGGACCAGTGCACTCGAGTCTCAGCTGGAGCTTGGAAACGCACCACATGAGCTCCATCCCATTTAAAAGCAAAGCAAAGCAGCGGAAACTCAATTTCCACAACCCCTTAGGTTAACTTTGCACTCAAACGGACTCGGAACATGCAGCGACTCAGTAACTCATCCCAGCTGAGAGGAAGTAACTTCCCGTCAGAGAGAAGTTGCTCCCTGGAGTGTCTGAGCTCTGTCTGCAGCAGCACGCCCGGCTCCCCGGTGCAGGCAGCTGCAGGTGCTGACATGCTGGGCACCACCATCCTGGCGGGTCACCTCCGAAGGCGGTGGGGCAACAAACACTGAACAAGAGTGGCCAGGGATGGGAATGAAACAGGCCCTTGGTGGACACTCTTGCAAGGAAGCTTGGGAGGCAGAGGGAGGATGGGAGTAACAGGTGTTTATGTGATCTGTTCAAAACTCCGGGAATTTGATGTGGTGGATTACTCGGGGACTCGGGATGTCTAACACTGGGTGATCTTCAGGAGTCGCTACAAAGCAAGGACTCTGCACAGTTTGAGACCAAAGTAGCCTTTACGAGTGCCTGGCACAGGGAACGTACAGGTACACCAGTGCTCACAAATCTGGGATTCGCACGACAGGGCTCTGACACTGTACTCACCATCCAGCACTGGTGAAGGAGAGGCCCGCACTCATGCAGAACACATGGACAGCGGAAGGCTGACTAGTGAAGGGGTCCCAGTAAGGACTACTGGTGAAACAGGCGGGGAGCGGGCAACTCGGGCGCTCCTGAACAGAGCCCAGGAGCGGGGAGCGGCGGCCAGAGGCGGCCGCGGAGCCCGGAGCGTGGCACAAAGGCGGCTGCTCGGAGCAGGGCGCTGCCGGGTCAGGGATCACGGGGGGGAGATGCCACCAGCGCGCCGGGCCGAGAGGGGCCGGTCAGGGGTCACGGAGCGGGCGGGCAGCGCGGCGCTCCCCGGGGCGAGCCGGGCGCGGGAGGGCAGCGCGGCTCCGGGGAGCGGGGGCGCCCGCGGGCCGGGCCGCGGGACAGGCGCGAGGCCAGGCGAGGACAGCGGCCGGGCGGCGGCAGCGGGGAAGGTGCCGGGCGGGAGGCGGGAGCCGGCGGGGAGGGAGGGAGGGAATGGAAGGGAAGGGAGGGCGCCCGGCCGGGGGGGAGCCGGGCGGGACGGGCGCGCACGAGGCGCCCACGCGGGCGGTCGCGGCGATACTCACTATGGGTCGTTGGTGAAGCGGGGGCTCCGCGGGGGCTGGTATCCGTACAGGTGACAGTAGAGCACATCGAAGCAGAAGCAGCACATCTCGGCCGACACCACCATCTTCCTGCAGCCGGGCCCGCCGGAGCCGGGGGAGGCGAGCAGCGAGGCGGACGGCGGGGAGAGGCCGGCGGGGCCCCCGCCGCAGCTGGGCGGCAGCGGCGGGGACAGGGCGCAGCCGGCGGCGCCCCCCGCCAGCCCCCCGAGGCCGTTCAGGCGGGGGCCCCCCGGCGGGGGCAGCGCCCCCGGCTCGCCCCCCGCCGCCGCCGCCCCGCCGCAGTGGGAGCCGCCGCCGCCGCCGCCCGGGCCGGCCGAGCCCGAGGGAGGGGAGCTGGAGAGTTTCTGCTTCTTCACCCCGCAGCAACCCGCCGCCATCTTGGAGCCGTCTCCCCCCACGCAGCGCTTCCGACCCATGGCGGGGGGGCCGGCCGGCCGGCCGGGGGACGTGCGGCGGCCCGCTCCGCCTCCTGCCGCGCCCGCTCCGCCTGCACGGGGAGGGGGCGGGAGAGGGAGCGATGAATGAGGAGCGGGAGGGACAGGAGGGTGGGGAGGAGAGACAGAGAGAGAGCTGCGTTAGAGTGACCCGGTGAGCGGCCCCGGCGGGCAAGGCCGGGGTGGAGGGGGCAGCGCGGCCCGCAGGTGTGGCGGCCTTTCCCCTCCCCTCCCCTCCACACGCCGAGCCTCCCCTCTCGTCTTCTCCCCCCCCCCTTCCTCCTTCCCTCCGCCCTTTATCTCCTCCTTCTGCCAGGGAAGTGGAGCAACTCCACCTCGCGTGCTAAAAAAAATATAATAAAAAAAAAAAATAAACCCACAAACCCGAGCTTTGCAGGCGCCGCACGGCAGGAGCAAAGCCCTTGAGATGGTTAAAAACACCTCGCTAAATAATTCAAGTGACCTGAGATGCCTTTCTCTGGGGAAGAGTGGGGGGGGAGGGCTGTGTTGGAGCCGCCAGGCTGGGAGCCTGCAGAGTGCTTGGATGCACCTATTAAACATGCAGTCCTGATGGCTAAAAGCCACGGGCTTTATGTGTATATTATATTTCATATATATATATATGTTTTTTTTTAATTACAGCATTGGCAATTGCTTCACAACCAATAAATAGCAGCTGAGAGTGCAGGCCCGCAGCTACAGAGCCAGCAGCCCTGACCCGGTGAGAGCGTGGCCCTGAGTGCCTGCAGCCCGGGAGAGACCTCTAGGGAAAGGAAGGCCAGAGGAAAAAGGATGTGAGTTCCTGCTGTCCTCCAGACATCTAAAATTAAGCTTATCAAGCTACAAGGGTGGCAAGGGAAATGTGTTTTATATTACTGTTTTGCGTTAGCCTCACATACAGATATATCTGAATTTACGGAGAGGCTTGCAAAGAGCCGTAAAGTCCTTCAAAATCTGTCTCCATGTATACATTTGGAAAATAACACCTCACCCGTCAGTGTTATGCAGCCATCTCTGGCATGGGATGTAACAGCTGTTTAACATAGAATAGCAACACTACAGTATCAAGGAAGACAAGGGGCAAGGACTGCTACATCGAGTTAAAATAATATCCCAAGTTTTGAGAGACAGAGAGCCGTTAGCCAAGCTAGAGTACAGTATAGAAAAAGTTTTCAGTCACAGACTACTTAGAGACTCAGTTTTACATTTCTTGTTGGAAATGGTTTATCCAATATCCTCATGATCTTAATTTTGGCTGGATCTTAATTTATGGATTTGAAGAGAAAATCCCCAATTCCTAGAGTGCTAATACTAATGGGTTAAAAAGCCCTTTGAGGGTTTCTGTCCAAATCCGGGCCTAAACTCCTCTTGCTTTGACTGTGAATCATAGCCTGAGGTGAAACAGCTGCAGGGAATACAGCAAGCAGAAAGGAGAAGAATTAGATGGTGTGAAGCAGTCTTTTCCATTTTTAAGTGTAATGTTTATGTTTGGAGCTGGAGAATAGTTGTGAAGGGAACCCAGTTTCCCTCTCTCAAACAACTTGCAAGTTTCTTTCAAAACAAAGGCAGTGTTTTCTCCTTAGGGATTCATTTGTTTAAAATCAGTTAGCAGTGACACCTTCTGTTGCTTTTGGGAAAATAGTTTCTCCAGGTATTGAATTCTGTCTTTTTCTAATTTTTTTTTACCATCCTGCATTATTTAACACTACTATTTATAAAAATATTAAGTAATTGCAAAAGCTTGTGGTACAGACACAAATATAAATCATTCACTCCACAGGGACAGATGTTTGAAAGGTTCAGTGTAAGTCTCAGAGCTAGGACTGATAATCCTTATGCAATATCAAGACTATTGATAATGCATAGGCATAACTTTTTGATTAAATATTGTATTGTAATGGTCCTTGAATGAGAGGCTAAACTACATGTATTACTTATCTTTTAAAAACACCTTTTTCCACTCCTGCAGATGTTCTTTGTTGTGTTTACCTATAGTTGTGCTCCTATTTTACCTCAGTACAGTACCAAGCATACCAAATCTCTCTGTAAAGACAACAATGAACATACAAACTCAACTGTGGAAATTAGTGGAGTCAGAAAGACACAATTATATTATTGAATATCTTGAGGTGGAGAGAACTGCAGACTCACAAAACATTTTTCATAGCTCAATGAAAACTGTCCATTCATATTTGAAAAAGCATTTATTCTTTGGATGAGATCGTTTCAGTTCACTGCAACTTGTGTTTCATTGGCCCTTTGCAAGTCTTGGGTGCCTTTACATTTCTGATTCCAAGGAACCCTGAATATGTTCCGTTTCTTAATCTACATGGTACTTCTCTACTTTGCTAACTTTAGCACATTCTCTCCTGTTGGTTGATGACTTGTTGGTTGTGTCTCACATGCAGTCAAATATACTGAGTGAATTCCATATAAAACCAAACTCTTTAGCAGTACAAGCAGAGTCAGAATGGAAGTGCAATTAGGTCAGTTTAATTGAGGTGTGATGTAGCTCTCCTTTATGACTCCAGCTGTTTAGCACTATTGCTCACCTCATGTTCTAAAGCCCCAGTGATTTCAGTATTGTCACTTATTACAAGGAAGAGATTAAAATTAATGTTTTAATTAAAAATCACAACCATTACTCTCGAAAAGAGCTGTCAAAGAAATTATTGCAAGGAAAACAGAGTTGTTTGTAGAAAGATATTTCTCAGTCATCCAAACCTCCTCTGAAGGATTGCCCTTCCTAAACGAGAAAATCAGAATGACTGGTATCTGGGGGAAATGATATCCTAACAGACATAATCCAATTCCTTTTGAATCCGGGGTCAAATTTGCACTGACTGTAGCAGAAGTCAGATTGTTCTCAAGTGGCCTAAAAGGTGATTTATGTTCTCAGTATCCTTCAATCTACTTAAAAGACAAATCAACGAGAACAAGAAAACAATGATCCAAAATTGGGCTCCATCGGTAAGCAGGAGTGATATAATCCTTGCCTTATTAGTACCAATTCTTTTAATAGGCACTGTCATAGGTGAGGGATTTAAAAGGGTACTTAAAATAGCACATTTAGGCTCTGGTTCCATGTGCAATTCTGCAGGACTAGTAATGTTGGTTTAAGCAGCTCTACCTCAGCTAATTGTTCTCCTTCCTGCCCCACCCATTCTGTTGTGTTCATGCAGCTGTTTGTGCAGATGTGAGGCAGAAGATCAAGTTGGAAAACACTCTTTTCCCTCAATTATTTTTGAGCCAAATCAGTTCTCCAGTCTGGTTTATCAGAGGGCTGCACAAAAGTCTGTGTTGGCCTCTTGCAGTGGCTACACAAAATTGTGAATTAATGGCCTTGGGCAGTTTAAACAGTGCTACTGAAAAATTAGAAGATGGAGCCTAAAGCAACATTGCTCATATTTATGTGGAAACTGTCATAAATAACAAAAGTGTTTGAATTTTAAATAATAGGTGAAGAAAACCAGTTGAGGAAAAATAAAGGGCCTTGAACAGGAAGGGAATTAGTTTATACTTGAGACTGTAGAAAAACCAGAGCCAGGCAATGAAAGAAAGGGAAACATCTAATATTCTACTTTCTTAGAACTAAAGAAAACATTATACCACAAATAATTTTATAAAAAAAACCCTCAACAACATCAAAACTTGAGCAATGTAAACAGCAAGTCTATGGAGTTAGTTATTATTCTAGAAAAGAATCTTACATATTCCAAAATGCAAAGGTTAAATTCTGTCTTTGTATCTTCCCATAATAATGAATTTTTTTGGATGGGCCTGCCATAAAACTGAAAGATTTACATGCTGAAAATTCCTTTGGAGTTTCCACCCATTGTGGAGCCAGTCTAGGCAACTCTTCCCTTGCCCTGCAGCCTACAAGGCATTATGAGTGGAGCTGGGAAGAAAGTGGGTTTGCCTGTATTGCTTTCTCACATTATTCCCAAACTGTTCTATCACACTCTAGAGACTCATGTGAGTTTTCCTTGGTATATTCTGCTTAGACAGAGTAGTTACTGTTCTTCAGTACCATCCCTGTCTCAGCTGTCCCCAGGAGAAATTAGATGCAGCACTGAATCTAGGCCAGAAAGTGTGCACAAAATCCAATAAAGTTAATGAAAGTTAACTTGCACATGTCTGAGAACAGCAATTGTTCCTACCAGTTAGAGGCCATATCCTGCTATTGTTCCATATATCAAACCCCTATTGAAGTCTCTTCTAAAAAATCTTGTACAAAAATCATCTCAGGATGTGATACCAGCCAGCAGACAAAAGGTCCTCACATGTTGTGTTACTGGAATCCTGGCCCTGTTTCATGTTATGAGCTGTGTTATAATTTTACCATACTGTGAATCCAATCTGTGTTATTTTAAAATTACTATTGTTTTACAGACATTTTTCACTCTTACACAAATAAATTTAGGGTTTGGTCCTGTTGCACTGCAAAACTGGGCATTAGTTTGTTAAAAAAACCTCACCAAAACACCCAAACCAAACAATCAAACAAAAGCTCTCACCAAATGAACCTCCCAAAGCAAACAAACAAGAAAAGCAAAAAATCACCACACATTCTAAAATGTTATTTATCAAAGTAAATAATCTGGGACTGGACAGTTTTTGAACTAGAGATAAAAACATTAATTGTGTCAATGGAATCAGAAAAGTTATTAAGTTAAAAACCTGAAGTTCAAAGCACTTGGAATAAATGAAAGGTGAGAGGGAATAAATGAAAGGTGAGAATTGTAGTAGCTTTTTAATGGAATTCTTTTCAGTTAATTCTGTGATCTGGAATGCTCCTCAGATATTATGTTAATGCAATATCCTATCCTTTTTGAATGTATTTTTCCATTGTGCAGTGATAAAAGAAGATGTGGCTTACATAGCTGTATTCTCAGTATAAATTCACCATGGCTTCATTGAGGTCAGTGGAGCTCCAGTGATTTATGCTAGCTGATACATTAATAATAAGCCTGAGGACATATTTTTTGACTTGGCTGTTTGTGGTTGGTCTCCTTCACAAAATATTTTCCACCACTGTAGAGCAATATGTATTAATAGCATTTCTCACTTCTGAAGAGCCAGAGCTTGAAGTGGTTTAAGTTAATTAGAAAAATGTATGGGTGTCTCCAGTGCAGTCATACAGACACCCCTGATCAACCCTGGCAACAGTCAAATACAACACAGAAATTGAGGTGTATTAGAAAATGTAATCATTAATTTTCAAAAGAATGAATGAATTAGGAGGATGGAATGTGTAGTGATTTTTTGCTAAGAATTAAAATCTGGTCAGGACACCACAATAACATGCCTGTTTATTCCTAAGAATTGCACTAGACCTTTAACCATCCCAAGTGGCCCACACTTGATTTAATATCTCATATAAAAACACCAAAAACTTTCCTATAAATTTAGTTAGTGCAAGGAGAAAAAATTTCAGAAAAGGATTAACAATACTAATTGATTGTTAACAATGTTAATTGATAAGGGTGACAGAAATGCTTCCATGTAAGGAAGACAACAGGCATAGATTTTGATGTTTGAGCTTCCTTTTTCAGATGTTATTTAATTTTCTTGTGAAATAATTCGATTTCTTCTGGCTGCTGCTTTTGCTATCGTTTTGCACATATTATCTAGCTTTTGGTGTGAAGGAATTCCACCTCCATTCTTCTAATGGCCAGTTCTCAGCTCAGGTTCATGCTCCCTGGCTCTGGCATTTTGCACTGCTCAGATAGCACTGAAGCTGCCTGTCATGTTCCTTTCTGAGAAATGAGATATACTGTTCTTTTCTCCAGAGACTGAGGAACATTTTTCTTTAATCTTTGTGAGCAGTAAAAACTCTGTGAGTCCTTCTGCTTGCCCTTTACCATTCTAACTTCTATAATAGAATCTGTGAATCTTAAGATGGCCAAGAACTGCTGCCGCTGTTCCAGGTGGGAACATCTAATCACTTGATATTGGAAGGTTTTAGCCTCACCTAATGAAATACTTTGGCTATTGCTTTGAAAGAATGTTTGTTAGCTACAGTAGACTATTGCAGCTTCTAAAAATGTGCATAGCACTCATAAGTATTTCTCCTTCTTCAGTATTGTAACATATTGCTATTTATTGACTGTATTTTTTTTCCTTTTTCTCTAGAAGTATCAGCATTCTTTATACTCCATGCCCAAATTACTTAACCTTATATCTTCCAGCGCTTCTGATCTGTACATGTCACCTTGAATGAAATGTTGATCCTCCTTTCTGTAACTGGTTTAATAAAATCACCATTTATGTCACTTTGGTGCACTTATCTTTCTCTTTTTCTGCACAAAGAAAAAGTTGACAAATGCCATTTTCCTGCCATAAAGGTGCTGGCCCTTCAGCATATCAATTTGTAACTGCTAAAAGCACTAAATACATTGTCTTAAAAGAGACTTGAGATATAAATAGAATGTTAGTTAATAGCAGGTGTTACCCTCGGTGGCAAAAAGCCAGCAGGGCTGCAGTAAAACCCTGCTCATTGCAGTTGTTGCTTTCATCATTGACAGTTTGTGAGTGCAGCCCCAGCAGGGCTGATGCTCCCAGTACTTTGGAGTCACCTCTCACCCTCACCCCTCTCTGCTTTCACATATTCAGCCCAGCAAATTCTTTTTTGAGTGTGGTAGGAAAAGAGACCGGCAAGCCTGAACCCCAACTGCTGCAAGTTTCTGAATAATATCATTCATTAGTTTTACTGCTTCCTTTTGGTAGAATGCCTGTTCTCCAACACAGTATTTTCTAATGCACTTTCTATTGCACAAGTCAGTTCTCCTTTCAGACCTGCATAAATCAAATCACTCCAATGAGGTCAATAGAATTTCACCGTTACAGAATGATGAGTTCAAACCCCGGCCTTTTAAACCTGTAGGTTCCCTTGTAAATTGATGAATGATTTGTCAGTTCCCAGGTCTCCTGAGCTATCCTCTGCTTTCAAGGAAAGTGATATTTATATAGATCCACATCCAGCCCACACAAATTTCATTAAACCAAACTTTATGTCTTCTCATTCTGCTTATCTCCCACGTTTGTATTCTCGCTCTAGGGAAGGGCCTTCAGGCTGCCTGCTGGGGGTGATCATTTCTGTCACAGTTGTTTAATGTATAAAATAAGCACATTATATTCATTTTGAATAAAAAGCAGCTGATAAACATGAAAGCCTCAGCAAAGTTTCACCAGTTCTTGGCCTAGCAGTTATTACTCCTCTTGTACACTCTTCCTTTCAATCACTATTTCTGATATTCCTTTTTTCACATTATCCATAACTCAGTCTGCCATTATGGCAAGTAAAAGCAGACCTTTTGTTTTTAGTATGGTCATTATTTAAACGTACTTTAAAGAGTAAAATAAGTAGTATTTCTTCAATTGTGAACTGAGTCATGGCATTCAGGAAACACTGTTTCTTATGATGTTTTCCTGCTAATCATATAAAAGGTGAAATTCCAGTCCTTAACATCTAGAAATATCTGTGATCATTAAGACTCACATCTGAGCTTTGGTTTGCATTTTTGTTTTTCTCAGTGGTTTCTTCATGGTTAATATTCTAATAACCTACTGACTGCCAGAGATTGCGCAGGGGTAACATGTTTTGATTTAAACACTTTACATTTGATTTGAGGAAATTACTATTTCCATCCTTAACACTAGAAACGTATCCTTGATGCTTCAAATGAAAAAAAAACCTCCCTGTTCGTGTAAGTAAATCTATAAATATATTAATCTAGTGACTCCAATTATAAATGGGATTCTGGATTTGTTACTATCTCCTTTTTTAAATGCATCTCTGCAATAATTCATTCATTTGGGTTGGCATTTCTGAAGAGCATGTCATGACTGGGACTACCTCGTGACATATTGCAGAGAACCCAAGCACAGCACATCAGACCTAAGGAAACACTGCTGAATTATTTCAGGGTTATCCTTTCATGGGTTAGGTCCTTACAGCTAACATTCAACTTAGATCAGGGATTTAGAAGAAGTTTGAAAATAATTTAATAAATAATCCCATGTATTTAACTCTCTAAAAAAAAAATCATCCTAGTGTCTGAATTTTCTGTTTTTATATTGCCCACTTTATGTTTGTTTTCACAGGTCAAAGTCGCACTGCCCAGTGTCATCACATTCAAGTCCTGCAGTAACCTGTAAGTCTCTCACCTCTAACTTTCCTATTGCAATAGAACAGCTGCCTGAAAACTGTTGTGGTCACCTCATGAATACTGAAATGTCTTTCACTGAACTATCTTTAAATGTTGTATATTGGGATATAGTTGTTCTTGTTATGTTAGATCACTGTAGTTAGAGCATGTATGCTTATAGTATAATACAGCCACATTTTTAAATACTAGCTTGTGATAATCTAATTCATTGCATTTTAAATGGAAGACACACAGCTTATCAAATCTACTCCTGTTTCTAAAGATACCCTTACTCTAAACCTTGTTCTTTAAACTGGTTAAATCAGAACTGAAAAGTTATCAAAGAAAAATATTACATTTGCCCTTTGATGAACAATTACCAAGCATTACATGTTCAGAGTAAAAAATGGATAACATTTTATTTTATGAGTCCACTAACTAATAGTGAATTAGAATAAAACTCCCGTGGGAACACATTTGACATTCACATAAATAACAGATGAGTTCATTATGATCCCCGGCTTATAAAAAGAATGGCAAATGAATTCATAATTATTAAGCATTTAAAAATAACACATTCCCCCAAAAGATACAATTCTGCACTAAATACGCGGTTACAGTTCAGCTGCAGGGCTCTGAAGAGCCTGAAATGAAATGGTAGCACAAAGAATCTGGTCATTCACCTAATTCTTTAACTGCTTGGTAGCCAAAGTAATAAAGATTTGTATGCTATTTAATGCCTTTGAATTAATTCTGAAATTTTGAGATTAATCTTGCTTCCAAAGCAGAGAATGCAGATTAGATACATGGTGCATGAAAGGATTATGCTGGGTCTATGTATAAAGAGGAGGATTACAGCACATATGGCTACTGACATGTACTCATGTTCTAAGTGCCTGTGGGCATCTCATTTGAAATATATATTAGAGTTGAATTTTGTAGGGTTTTTTTTGTTGATAGATATGTGGTTGTATAGATGACAAATACCACTGAGGACAGTTATTTTGCTAGAAGTGACATTCTCAAATACTTGCCAAGCTGTCACATTAGCATACTGCTCTCAGCCCGGCTGGAGACAGCTCTTGCATGAATTGAACCTCTGCCCTGTGATGACACCGCTAGCACAGCGGTCCCAGAGGTTGCCTTGTCTGCCAGGCAGAGAGAGAAGTAAGAGATGCTGAGAACAAAGTTCTGAGAACAGCACAGAGCACTTGCAGTGGAGGAGAAGGGAGATGAGTACAATCCTGTTCTTTGAACTACCTGCACCAAGGACATAAACAGAAAAGGGATCAGGAGTAGATCAAATTAAGGCTGTTCTAAATGCTGTCAGCACTGCTGACAGGGGCAAAATTCTTGTGTCCCCAAATCTTACATAGATCTTGATAGCCTTGATGGAGAGGGAGGGAAGAAGATTGTTATTTTCTATATACATCCTGACCCCATAGTTAGCCCTCCTTGGTTATCCAAGGAATAGAGAAATAATGCCGTATATTACTTCTGTATTGCTTTTCCCAGTACAGAGGTAAGGAGAAGTGTGAAAGGCCTCGGGCACATGTAGATTCTAAAGTCACATTGTTAGTAGGTTTTCCCAAGTTCCCTTCTCCATAGCAGCAGCCCAGGCTCTAACACAGCTCTGTTGCCATCAACAGTGTTGTCATGTGAGGGAAGTGCTATACAATCATGAAAAGGGCCATGGAGACTAGAAATACATTAACCAAAACAGAAAAGCCACTTGTTCTATACAATGTTCGTGGAATTATTTGAGAAACTGTTAAATGAAGAAAAAATTTTGTCTTTCTACTTTGGAACAAGAATCACCAGATGAGCTTTAGAAGTTGCATAGTTGCCAATGAAAGAATATGATTTATACACTGCTGAATTACATTGCTTTTAATTTTAAAAGTGTGTTGGCACTATCTGATTTAACTTCTGACTTGATCTGGGTGGGTAGAGTTTGGATGAATGTCCAGACAGCAAAGGCTGAGCTGATGCTTCAAACCTAAATCCAACAGATAAAAACTAAATGCGTACCAGGGAAACTAATTGTGCATCAGGTAAACTATCTCCTTCCTTAGGCCTGTGGATTGCTGGGTGAACTATATGGTTTGATTAAAATTATTGCCTTAAGGCAGAGTTTCGATTCCCATGTGTCCCATAAGGACAGTGCAGTAAACCTGTTCTATCTGTGATGTGTGAAGTGAGGGCTGGGAACTCTTGGATTCACAGATTCCAAGACTAAGGAGATGATAATAGCATGCTAATTGTGCTACATGCACCTTTTTCCCCTTGGAAGATAAATTCAAGTTTGGAGGTTCTGTTTTGGTTTGTTTGTTTTTTCAAAGCTGATACACTGTGAATTCATTACTTCCAAAACTTTTGAAGTTTCTATTTTAAAACATTAAACATCTGTCAGAAAGATACTTCTTTGTTTATACACCATGGAATATTACAATGTATCATCTATGGTTGTCAATATTTGAGGTAATTGTTATTATAAACAGGGGCACAATGAGAGAAATGATGTGATAGCTCTCCAACTGATGACAAGGAAAAATGTATGTACCTTTTACTTATGAAAATCTGATGGCATTACTTTACTATAACCCCTTTGAAGTTAAGACATCAGAAGACTGTCTGCTCTAAAATGTTGGATAAATCATCCAAGTCAATGCCACGTCACGAGTGTTCCAACCATACACTCCCTCACAAGGCCACTGCTGGTCCCCATCCAACATCACTGTGCAAAAAACTATCATGAGAAACATCACCAGGCAGGTTTCTGTTCATTACCAAAGCATTACTTTGCAAGTAAATTATTCCAGTGTTTGCTTGTAATTTGCTTGGTGAAATAGGGTGGCCACTTGCATCAGCCTTCTGTGGAAAGGGGGAATTAATTACATAAAGCTTGCAGAAAGCTGGAAATTAGAGACTTCTGACAAAATCAGAAAACTCAGAACACTAAGATTCTTTTTTGAAAATTAGGAAAGGAAAAGTGGTAGAAATTATTTGATAGTAGCATTGGTCGAGTCCTGACTAAAAGAATCAGAGGGACAGCCATCTCTGAGAAAGAAGGGCAAATTCATACAAGATTTACTTTATTTTTTTAAAGGAAACAGGTACACACTTGTGAGGAGATTTGAATAATTTATAGGGATTAAAGTCCAAGCTTCAGAATGTGCTTACAATAAGCCAAGTCTCAATCTGAATCACCTCAATTTGTGGCAAGTTGTCTCGCAGCAGATAGCAAAACATGTTTGTTCTAAATCTTATGAAACAATAATTATAGTAAGTAAAGGCAATTGGCAGTGATTGAAATACTAATGACACACTGCATTTCAAACATTTGTTTAAAGTGACCTCAGCCTGTTATTTTACTCCTAGAGAACAAACCTCTCTCAGACTGCATTTGTCTACTGCTGAAGTGCTCTGATAGTATGCAGTACCCAAATTAAGTGTAATTGCTAATAATTTATTCACCAGAAGGTTTGCTATTATCAGCTTTGTTTATGTAAAAGGGAGATTAAAAAATAGTTCTGTTTCTTGCAAACTGCTGTGCAAATTTGATCTGATCTTATTAGATGTTATTATCCCATAGGAATGATATGAGATTCATCTCATAACAAGAAAAAAGATAACCAAATGTGATATAGGACATAAACAAATTTTAGGATTTTAGTTGGCAGAACTCTATTTATATGTATTACATCTGTAATATGCTGTAATCTTTCTGTTCTGCTTTCAAGTAATGTTGCCAAAAGCATTCATGCCAAGAAAGGAATAAAGCTTGTGAGTATAATATGTACGCTGTGTATTTAGCAGAAAGCATGTACAGAATTTTTTTAATTTATTTTTTAGTTTTGCATTACCCCATCTTATATCCCAGTGCTTTTTGCTGCTTTATTTCAAAATGTCAAGAACAAGAGAGGTTCATTAGGAAAACATATATATCCACTGCACCTCTACACTGTATTAAGTAATGTAAAATCACTTCTCAGCTCTTGTGAAGATGGGCCATTTGAAATTTTAAAGAGATTAAAGTATGTGAGTAGCTCTAAACTATTCCTTTTAGCTACTTTTTTGATAATTATCCTCTTCTTTATAACATATCTTGCTGATCCTCAGTTGTACTGCTTTCAAAGGATGGGGAGGTCTCTTAAAACAGGTGGTATTTTTACTTAGAAAATTTAAGAGAAGAAAAAAGATAAAAAGCTGCACATCACAAAGTTGAAGCTACTTGACGGCCTCTGGATGGAACTCCTTCCTTGTCCACAATGTTGTCCTTTCTCAGTGCAAGGGAATGCACAATGTGCCACTCACAGCCAACAGAAACGATGTAGAGAATCCAATTAGTTCCTCACCTTCTGTAATTTAGGAGTTACATTCCCCAGATAATTAAAATTCAGCTATGTACATCATTACCTTTATTAACATACAAATGCATTTAAATTTCTTATTTAGGACCTCGCACATCACTGCATGTTCACCAGTGGTACAGGAAAAGGTAGTTTTATGTTAGTTTATAATGAATTTATTCTTGCTTGCAAGCGCTGGAAATTTGGCGCAGTGTTTTAATTTCAAACACTGGAAGAGAATTTTAAAATCCAAGTAATTTATTTTAGCAGGCTACTTGGAAACATTTGCTCTATTTTTTTTAACCTAAAAGCCAGAATTTATTTATTCTGTATTTTACTGATTTTTCTTTCTCTACCCATGAAAATTAAATGCAGAGGTTTAATGGTTTAGATCATGTGCTTTCAGGCAATTTCATACATGGTTCTACATGTTAAAAACTCAGTAAATATACCACCTTTTCCAGAGGAAAAAATAAATCTTGAGGACATAGCCATTCCTCTTCCAGAGGTCATTTCCCAGTTGCAGGGTTTGGCTTTGTTTCCTGCTGTTATTCTGCAGAGATAATTGGTTGGTTTATCCAAGGCTCTCTGAAAGGTTGTGGGTTGAGGAGTCAGTCATGGATATTTGCTCTTGTGCCAGAAGGGAGAAGGATC